CACATAAGATCATCTACTACAAGAACACTAGGTTGGGCATCGATGCCGATTCATCTGTCGGCCTAGAGCGGGTTGGTTTTTACCATGGATTGGAGGACTTAGAGGGTCTAGGGCATCCAGTCACGAGCATTGTCATGGATGGTAGCAGCACGTATACAAGAGCTGCAGCAGATTTGGGCCTGAGGCACCAGGAGGACTGGTGGCATAGGATCGGCAACGCGAAGAAGTGTTTTAGGAAAAATGTCCAGGATCTCCAGTGGACATGTGACAATGTAGATGCGGCTGAGGTATGCAACCAATTATGGATTGTGACCGTGGCCAAGTTGCGGAATTGGCTCGGGCAACCAGGTCGAACTGTGTCTATGCGGGGGGGCAGCAGCAAGGCAGCGCTGGTGCAGGCAATTTGTCGAATGCGGGGCATGCCTTATAGGGAGATGACTAGTGCAGATGCCAAGTAGAAGTTCCCCGAGTTGCGAAAGGTATTGCTAGTCGATGGAACAGGTGCAGCTGCAGCATCCGATCTCCCTGCCGCCAGCGGCACAGCGGATGTGGAAGATGGGGATGTTGAGACTCGAGGGGATAGTGACGCTGGAGTGGGAGTGGAGGAGGATGACGTTGGCCCGTTGTCGGATTATGACGGGTATGCGGGATTTGGGATCCGGCCGACTACCCTGGCATCAGCTATTCTCGTTCAAGCATGGTCTGGGGTGGAGGAAGTGGATCTGCTGCGGGGCAGCAATGCAACGACGCATTCGCCAAATAACACTGGTTCTCATATTGCAGGTATCGTTTCTCAGTATTTTACATGTTCAAACCCCTTTCCCTGCTCTCACTCCTCGCTGGACCCGCATGCATGGCCTTGATTTTTCGTCGCACACATTCGGCTACGTGCTTCAACATCCTGATACACTACATTTCACTGCGTAACTGTATCGCAGGAGCGGAGGGGGCCCATGGAGCTGAGGAACATGCGGCTACAAGTTTTGCAGCTACGGATGATAACGCACAACAAGGGGCGTCACCGTCAGCAGTACCCATCTGGGGACCACGGGGTGCACGGTTGCGCACAGGACGTCTAGGAGGCCGGGTGAAGGAGGTTGATGTGGCAGACCGGTTCGGCACCCACATGGCACACGTCATGCTGCGATGCGGAGCATGGAAAAAGGCGAGGAACCCTATGTCGTCCGAGGAGGTGTCTCACGAGATCTGTCTCGCAGCCGACCACTGGGCTGGGGATCATCGACGTTGCGCACGTGCAGGTCTTGATCCGAGGTGTGTTCGGGAAAACTGGGTTCAGACACAAACACTTTACCTGCCTAACTCTGGTGCTCATCGTGAAGTTACGCGCTACCTTGCTGATAACTTTTCACCGGCCAAGGTGGTGACGATAGTGGACGGTGCGACGAGCTCAATGAACGAGTCTTTCCACTCGATAATTTTGAAGTACGCACCTAAACGCCTCCGTCTTCAAGGCAGCTATGAGGCTCGGATAGCCTTAGCTGTGCTACACTGGAATAACACGATGGACCGGCTTGTGAAAGCATATATAACGCGGGCACGGCAAATCACGAGGGTACAGCGTGGTCGGCACGATAGGGTGTTAGGCCCGATGTGTTGGTCATGGGTGGACGACATGCTTCGAGATTGGATGTACGGCTCTCCTCATGCTCTCTTCGAGCACGATTCTGACATTGCTGGGGCTGTTCGGGGACAAGCGCGTCGACGTCTTTCGCCTGAGTATCCACCCACGAGCGACGGCACCTGGGCTCCTACCAACTGAGTGAGTTCCAAGGTGTTCTGCACGCTTTTGATTTCCAGGTATGACCATCACTATCCACGAGCGCATCACAAGCCACACCGCGATGCTGCCCACCCTCCCTTCTCTCTTTCTGCTTTCCTACCCTCACTGTCCACCTCTCCTCCTCCGCCCACCCCTCTCCACGCCTCCATCCCTACTGTTCTGCCCTCACCATTGTTCGTCCCTCCCCAATATTCTGCCATCCCCACTGTTCTGCCCACCCCACTGTTCTGCCCACCCCACTGTTCTGCCCACCGTATTGTTCTGCCCTCCCCACTGTTTTTGCCTCCCCATTTTTCTGCCCTCATCCCTGTTCCGTCCCCCCCAATGTTCTCCCCTCCCACTGTGTTGCCCTCCCCGCTGTTCTGCCCTCCAACTGTGTTGCCCTCCCCACTGTTCTGCCCCCCCCCCCCCTCTCTGTCCACCTCTTCAACTCCGCCCATCCCTCTCCCCCCCTCTCTGCCCACCCCACATCTCTCCCTCTCACTATCCATTGGAAGGCCCCTCCGTACTTTGCCATATGTGTTCTCGCATCCTCCCTTCTCATTTCCCGTGCTCACCTTCCACATGCTATGCTCACCCCTCATCTCCTTTGCCCTCTCCAAAACTCCTATGCTCGCGCCGTCTATCCCATTCTCTCCCTCCCCGTGTCGCATTCTCTCCCGCCCTCTCTCACCCACACTTGGGTTTCTGCAGCAGCCACGGAATTGATGCGGCCGAGTAGGGTGTTGATGAAGCACCCATAGATTGGTGGGTTGATGGAGTTGTGAGCTCACACGGATGTTTGGAGTGTTGGTGATACAGAGATTGTTTGATGACTCTGCACCACCCCAGTATCGCTGCTGTGCATGTGGTGGACTTTGTTGCGCTCATATATTTCATTTGGGCACTTTGAGTAGTATTATTCATGATTAGGGGAGGGGAGGCTTCTCAAATCGCTACCTGATGTATCATATCATATCTGAGAAAGGCATTTATAGTGTTGCAAATCAGCTATAGTATCTCTCCAACCACTAAAACCGGCCCCATACTCCGATCTCCATGGAGGCTCGTGTCTCTGTTCACTGAAGAGGAAGGGCAGCGTGGGATAGGGGGGGATGTGCACGGTGAAGAAGTGTGAAGGGAGATGGGCATTGACGGGGAGTATGGGATGGGGGGAGAGGGTGAGAATGGGTGTAAAGAGAGGGTTGGGGCATGGGAGGGTGGGCACATAGAAGGCGTATGAAGGGACCTGGGTTGGTATCGCGCCGAGGGCTGGACAGGCAGCGAGAGGGGGATGGGGATGGGCAGGGATAAGGAGTACGATGTGTTTGCGAACTCTGGGCAGAGTGGAGGTTTGGAAGCAATGGTTTGGGGGATAGCGAGGATGTGGGCTGGCATGCCAACGACAGCTCTCTCTCCCTCCCCTGCAGCTCTCCTCTCTCCCTCCCCTGCAGCTCTCCTCTCTCCCTCCCCTGCAACTTTCCTCTCTCCCCTGCTCTACCGCCTCTCCCCCTCCCCTGTTCTCACTCCTCCCCCCAGCCCCTGCTCACACTCCCTCTCTCCCTCCCCTGCCTTCACTCCACCCTTCCTCCCCTGCTCGCACTCCTCTCCCCCTCCCCTGCCCACGTTCACTCCTCTCCCCTTCCCCTGCTCTCACTCTTCTCCCTTCCCCTGCTCTCACTCCTTTCCCCTCTCCTGCTGCCGCTCCTCTCCCCATCCCCTGCTCTCACTCCCTCTCTCCCTCCCCTGCCCTCACTCCTCCCTCCCTCCCCTGCTCTCACTCCTCTTCCCCTCCCCTGCTGCCACTCCTCTCCCCATCCCCTGCTCTCACTCCCTCTCTCCCTCCCCTGCCCTCACTCCTCCCTCCCTCCCCTGCTCGCACTCCTCTTCCCCTCCCCTGCTGCCACTCCTCTACCCATCCCCTGCTCTCACTCCCTCTCTCCCTCTCCTGCCCTCACTCCTCCCTCCCTCCCCTGCTCGCACTCCTCTTCCCCTCCCCTGCTGCCACTCCTCTCCCCATCCCCTGCTCTCACTCCTCTCTCCCTCCCCTGCCCTCACTCCTCCCTCCCTCCCCTGCTCTCACTCCTCTTCCCCTCCCCTGCTGCCACTCCTCTACCCATCCCCTGCTCTCACTCCCTCTCTCCCTCCCCTGCCCTCACTCCTCCCTCCCTCCCCTGCTCGCACTCCTCTTCCCCTCCCCTGCTGCCACTCCTCTACCCATCCCCTGCTCTCACTCCCTCTCTCCCTCTCCTGCCCTCACTCCTCCCTCCCTCCCCTGCTCGCACTCCTCTTCCCCTCCCCTGCTGCCACTCCTCTCCCCATCCCCTGCTCTCACTCCCTCTCTCCCTCCCCTGCCCTCACTCCTCCCTCCCTCCCCTGCTCTCACTCCTCTTCCCCTCCCCTGCTGCCACTCCTCTACCCATCCCCTGCTCTCACTCCCTCTCTCCCTCCCCTGCCCTCACTCCTCCCTCCCTCCCCTGCTCGCACTCCTCTTCCCCTCCACTGCCCTTGCTCTCACCCCTCTCCCCTTTCCCCTTCCGCTGCCCCTGCTCTCCCTCCCGCGCTCACGCTGCTCCCTCCCGCGCGATCACGCCGCTCTCCCTCCCGCGCGATCACGCCGTTCTTCCCGCGCGCTGACGCCGCCCTCCCTCCAGCGCGCTGACGCCCTCCCTCCCGCGCGCGCGCCGCTCTCCCTCCGGCGCTCACTCCGCTCTCCCTCCCGTGAGCTCACTCCGCTCTCCCTCCCGCGCTCACTCCGCGCTCCCTCCCGCGCGCTCACTCCCTCCCCTGCCCTCATCCCAAAATTCCTGAAACCCATTCTGCCCTTTGGAGTGTGGGACACTGGTGGGTAACCTCACCCCAGATTACCCAAAGTTCCACGCAAGACCCCTCGGGGTTACCTGCGGGTAGTGGCGACGCGCACGACACTCGCGAAATGTTCGTCAATTGTCGCGTGGGGTCCAACCAGCCAATAGGGCGCAAGCTCAGTTGGAGGTGACCTGCAGGTAACTTTACAGGTCTTGCCCGGACCCAGTCGCTAGCCGAGCCTGAGCCCTCAGACTAGACTTGACCCGAGAAGCGAATTTCGTGTAGAAGCGTGTCATACGATGGACAGAACAAGAAAATGATGTTTGTCTTTTGACGAAACGTGTATAACGGGTTTAAAAGTGATGGGTGAGCCTCGACTGGCTGACCAATGAATGCATCGTTGGGTTTATACCCATTGGTCGATTTCTCGACTTATCCAAGTTCGAGCGAACCTCCTGCCTTCGTGTGTACACCCAAAAATTTGTAGGGCGTGCTCAGCGTCTTGGGATTAAAGTACAGAATACTCGGTGCCATCAGCTCTCGACACATGAGATATGAAACAGCTTCCTTTAGTGTCTCTTTTGGTACGAAGTTTTGCCTCCATTCGGCTCACTGGATACGACCCAGATAACAACACCTAACTGTGACAACAAATCCCAGTCACACATATACTACAGACTCAACACAATACCCGTCAACTTTCACAGTTCGTCGTCCCTCATGCTTGTCGACGTTCTTCCCGCTCGAGCATTTTACTTAGACAGAAATGCGCCCAGCGCTGCGTAGTATGTTTTTTTCAGCTACCTAAACTATTGCAACTGTCTAGTCCTCGGTATCGCCATGTATTTTCCCCCATTCTCTTCCTCGTGTGTGCCTGTTGTTTCTGTTTGGGTTTTCTATTCCTATGAGCATAATCTTTTTCCATCTTCCTCCCATACTTTCCCTCCTTACCATTCCCCTAGGCCTTTCGCGCATCTTCTCGCGGTGCACGTTGGGCGCGTGAGCTTCTCGCGATGCAGGTTGGGCGGGACGCACGAGCTACTCGCGGTGCACGACAAGCGGGATGTGTGAGCTTCCCGCGGTGCTCGCCGCGCATCCCTATCAAGCTCAAGTGGCTCCTCGCCGTATTCAGGTATGGTTGTAGCACTTTCTCATTGCCCCCCTTGTGTCCGGATCCTACTCGTCATCCCCCCCCCCCCCCCCCGCCCGCCCTCCTTGCGTCCTTCTTGCCGCACTCTGTTTCCCCCCTGCTTTGACTGGCACCTTGTTCCATGCTCTTTACCTTACAGCCTTTGTCTCCCCTCCTTTCCTCGCCATCCTCATTGTCCCCCCCTCCCTTCCCCCCTCCCATCCCCCCCTCCCCCTCCCCTCCCTGTATAGCTGGTCTTCATTCGTTGGTAATTTTGTGCAGCTGCCATGGGGTAAGTGGACGTCTGCATGGAATTGCTTTGAACCCAGACTTACGCGGGCCTGTGCAAGGGTGGATGCAGGCCGCTCTTTCACATCTGAGATTGTGCTTGACAATATTCGTGTGTGCAGCGAACGGCTACCAGCCAGTTGGCCATGCTGCAGTGGTGCTTGTGGAGGCTGGGAAAGAGGTGCTGGTGGTATGCGTAGGCAAGCTTAGCTAATACACCAAGTTGGCGTTAGGAGGAGAGGGAATCTGTGCAAAACTCTAGGTAATTGCAGCTAAATTAACCACCTTGTTGTGCATGCTTTGTATTGTGATAAAACTTTTTGTAATGGTGATAAGCTAAGCTTTTATAACAATTATATGTGCGTAATAAAGAGTTAGTCAACGCCTCGAAACGAAGTCGCCCTCAATGCTACACTAAAGTCATATATACAGGCATGCCCGTTAATGTAGTGGTTGAGCTACTATCGAGGTAAGTAGTTAAACAGTTGATATGTTGAGTAGAAATATTTCGTATCGGGGCGCCAGTGACGAGGATTGAGTGTGCTATTGTTTTGCACATAATGGTCATCATGTTATCGCGGAAGTAACCACAAACGCCTTCACAGTTTGACGGGGATAAGAACCCATCAAAAGGTTTACGTCATGTTCCCCCCGACACACCCGAAGGTGACAAGTTGGTGTCGCGAGGGTGACATCAAGAGGGAATCCCGAAGGTTACCTCGAAAGGCATTCTGGCTGCTGGTTTTCCCGAGGTAACCCAGCCGGAAGCCCCAGGGTTACCCCCAGGCGCGAAACCCCAAGGTCACTTGTGGTAGTCTTGGGGGTAACATTTTGCCACCCTAATTTTTGGGATGCTCGCTGCTTCCTCCGTGCTTTCGCCTCAGCCACTAGCTTCTGTCGCGTCACTCCGTCCCTGCTATCGCGTCACTCCGTCCCTGCTATCGCGTCACTCCGTCCCTGCTATCGCGTCTCTCCGTCCCTGCTATCGCGTCTCTCCGTCCCTGCTCCCGCGTCACTTCGTCCCTCGGGATAAATTATGCGCGGTTCGCACTGCTTAGTCGGTCGTCGCGGGATCTGCGGCATTATCGCTATCATTCCTTATGGCGCGAAGTTTCGTCTAGGCTTGGCTACGCGCGCGAGAAACCTCTTATGCTGGCTAGTTTCTACTGACTGGTCGGTCTCGCCTGGGTCCCAATTTACAAAAATTGATAGCAACTTTCCCTTAGCCGTTTGTGCTGAGAGAGAGCCAGGGGTTGGGCTGCTTGGGCGAAGGTGTTTGCTTGCCCTTTCAACCAATCACGAGCCCCCTTTTGCAGCCACCGCGTCATTGTAAAGTTTCATCCGGGTGCATGGGGTTACCAACATTTTTGCGCCGCGATATTGCTAGCAAAAAATCTCGCGCCGTGCAACTTGGGATCTGGGCTTTAACGGGATGGCAGCCTAATTTGGCATGCAGCCCGCAAACAGACCTCATCGGATTCGGCCTGGGAGTAAGATCGTAACACTACAAATTTTGCGTGCAGGAAATTGGTGTGAACGGGTCATGTTAGGGCGGGTGTTTCAGGAGTGAGGGAGTGACCTCTTGTGTTTCGGGAGTGACGGGCTGCGGGTTTCCTGTGGGAAAGAGCTCGTACGCGGGAGTGGAGTGACTAGGGGTGTTAAAGCCTGCGACTACATTTGAGGGGGTTCGTGGTGTAGCTTTAGGATTTGTCGGCCTGGTATTGCGTGATTGGCTTACGAGAGAGGCGATACTGGAAAACTGACGACAGAGTATGCGGACTTCGCAAGCATCGAGAAGTGGGAGTTGCGAGATTGGAGGGGGAGGGAAATTTGAAGGGGAGGGGATCGAAATTTGGGGAGAGGGGGGAGGGGGGGATCGTAATTGGAGGGGGAGGGGGAATCGAAATTGGACGGGGAAGGGGGGAATCGCAATTGGAGGGGGAGGGGGAATCGCAATTGGAGGGGGAGGCGAATCGAAATCCTGGGGTGAGCCAAATCTGTACACAATTGTGATAGAGGCCAGATTCAAATGTTTTGAAAGGTTTGGGCGAGTTAGCGGCAAAGTAGCTCAGTCCATTAGGTTACCTCCTTTCAAATGTTTTTGATTTGAAAACAGCAACCACAAATGTAGACGCGGGCTTTAACGGGGCCAAAACAGTTACCGCTTCTATAATTTTCCCATGTCGAGGTATCATGCTGGCCTTTCGTTGATTGGGCGAGAGCAGTCGGTCAACTAGTTCGCAGCGACGAATTTGGTTAGCTGGCGACAGATCCACAATTCGTCAGCTTGTGATTGACAAGTTTTATTGGTCATTGGGTCCAGGTGTAATTGACACTCTGTAAACAATGTTGTCGAGTGTCACATCGAATCGCGTGACCCTGCGGAAATGACATGTCATTTCTACGGACACTGCCTCATTTGTGTGTCCTCGTTTCATTATCAACTCGATTCTTTGCCTTATTCGTGACTTTTCCTGTCACTCGTAACAAAGAGTGACTCCCGCATGTCACGCGAGACTTGCCTCATTCTGAGATCCAGAGCCCACTTCAGAAGCAATGGCTGCTGTGGGACCATTGCGGAGTCACGACCCGGACGGCTTGCTCTGCGCTCTCACGCGATCCCTGGACGAGCGATGACCTGGCGGGGTGCGGATTTGGAATTGCATTTCCGTGGCGGACTGACGCACACTCTTCCGACCGGGACGATGAGGTAACGGCCGCTCGCCTCTCGTCGCTCACCGTATCCCCTCGCATCGCGCTCTCACCAAGGCTTACGCGCCTGCCATGGCGGCGCCAGAATCGCCGAGCCAACGCGCGGAGCAGATTGGAGCTGCCAGCGGCGGCGTGCCGTCCTCCGCCATCGCAGCGCGCCACCCACCTCGGGCCGCACCGTCGCTCGCATCCCTTCCGATCGCCGCCGCACCCAAGCTCCTCCCTGTCTCCCTCCGGTCGCCCCTGTACGCGTCGCTGCTGCTCCTCCCCGTCCTCGCGCTCCTCCTCCTGCGTCAGCCGCTCGCCGTTGACCTCGTTGCCATCCGCGCAGCCCACGAGCAATCCAGATTGGAGTCGCGGGGGGAGCAGCACGAGTCGCCAGCATCGCACGAGTCGCAAGCGTCGCACGAGCAGCTACAGGGACGAGTTGACGAGCTGCTGGCCTCGTGGGCTGCTCAGCTCGCAGACTCGCCCACCGTCGCAGGCGACGCAGACGGGCATCGCCAGAGCGCGTCACCTCCACCCAACGTGGCAGCCCCGCCAGCGGTCCACGTGCGCGCGCCGCACTTAGCGGACTGCGCGGCGAATGCGCGCGTGTACGCAGAGGAGCACTGGGCGAGCCGCCCCGCGGATGGGTCCGACCCGCCCTGGGCGGCGATCAGGCACCTCGCGGGAGAGGGGGAGGGGGAGGGGGAGGGCGGCGAGAACGAGAGAGAGAAAGGCGGGAGCAGCAGAAGGGGCGTGGAGGGAGAGGGTGCGGCGGAGGGGAGGCGAGATGAGGGGCGAGAGGCGGGATTCGAGGCGGTGGAGGAGGGGCCATGGGTGCCGTGGGTGGAGGGTGGCGAGTGGGACAACTACCCGCTGACTGGGCGCGTGCAGCGCGACCTCTGGCGCCACCAGTTCCCCCGCGACTGCTCCCACCCCGCCGTCAGGCGAGTGCCGCTGCTGCCTGCCTTTCCTTGCCGTGCCTGCTGTGTGCCCTTGCGTGCTGCCTGCTGTGTGCCCTTGCGTGCTGCCTGCTGTGTGCCCTTGCGTGCTGCCTGCTGTGTGACCTTGCGTGCTGCCTGCTGTGCCCCCGGCCAGCGCAGCATGCCACACCGCTGCACCACACAGCTCTTCTCGCTCCTGCCTTGCCCCGCTTTGCGTTGGCCCTCTGTGCCTCGTCGTTGCGCCCTCCCATCTTCCTACCCACCCAACCCCCCCGCCCCTTCCCCGCCGCCTTCTGCCTTCCTCTGGCAGGTTCCTGCTGGCCCCCTTGGAGCGCAGCACACGCCACGGCATCGGCACGCAAATCACGCTCCTCGCGGGCGCGCTCGCCCTTGCAGTGCGCACCAATAGAGTGCTTGTTATAGCGCGGGCGGAGGAGCCGAAGGGGGGGAAGGGGAGGAAGAGGGGGAGCGGGGGCGCGGGGCTGGTGGGGGGGTTTGACCGCGCGGAGCATGAGGGGTGTGAGCAGGAGGGCATGCGGGGCGAGTGGCGCTGCTACTTCCTTGGCGAGACGTCGGACGAATGCAGGCGGTGAGGCGAGCAGGCGGTGAGGTGCGTGGGGAGAGGGAGGAAGGTTGTGAGCGGACAGTGAGGTGGGACGACAGTGAGGTGAGACGACAGTGAGGTGAACGGCGAGCGACGCCTGCAGGTGTGCTTCCTTGGATGACTCGTCCTTAAAGTTGTCATTTTCATTGTCCACGGTGTGAACCAGTTGAGCACAACACGTTGGTTCTCCTGGTCCTGCCATCCGCCCCGCGTCTCCCTCCATCCGCCCTGCATCTCCCTCCATCCGCCCTGCGTCTCCCTCCATCCGCCCTGCGTCTCCCTCCATCCGCCCTGCGTCTCCCTCCAGCCGCGCACATGCCCTCGCCATGGACCCGGCGTCCTTCTCGGGCAGCGATCCTCTCATGGCCGTCACTCGACGCGCGGAGGGGGAGAGGGGGGATACGCCAAGGGGGAATGAGGAGGAGGGAGGGGAGGGAGACGACGGGGGCAGAGAGGCGGCAGGGGGCAGGGGTCGAGGGCGAAAGGGCGGGATGCAGAAGGGCGGGACGCGGCAGCTGTTCTTCCCGGTGGTGCCGCGGCGGTGGGGGCAGCCGTGGCTTGCAATACCGGGCGTGGTGGAGGCGGAGGGGCGCCTCATCGCCATCAACCGCATGAAGTGAGCTCTTCTGAGTTCGTCTGAGCTCTTCAAGACGACGCTGCTTCCAGGGGGCAGCCGTGGGTGGCGATCTGGGGCAACGGGCGTGGTGGAGGCGAAGGGGGGGCGCATGATTTCTCCCTTTCCAATCGCTCTTCCTTTCTCTGCTCTCCTTTTTTCTTCACACAAGCACCTTTTCTCTCCCATTCCTTCACCCGCCCGTCCCCCAGGAGCACCTACCACTGGTGCCTGCGTTGAGTCAGTTTAAGTACCTCCCTTTCCCCCAGTCCCTCTCAGCAGCACGCATCGACGGTTGGCTGCTTTTCAGTCAACTCAAATAGCCTCCTCTCCCCCCCCCTAAAACAGCAACACGTACCGCTGGTGGCGCGCCCAGGCCATGCGCTTCTTCCTGCGGGCGCCCTCGCCGCGCCTCTGCCGCCTGCTCAACGCGCAGCGCCACCTCTCCTTCGGCCGGCTGGCCGCTGCTGCCGTGGTAGAAGCCGAACTGGCTGTAGCGGAAGCAGAGAGGGTTGTAGCAGGAGCTGACATGGCCGTAGCAGGCGCTGCCGTTTCAGATGGTGGAAGTTCAACGCAGGGGAGGGGGAGCGTGGGGGAGGAGAGTGAGATGGAGGAAGGGGATAAAGAGGAAACGACTGATGGGGAAGAGGACAAGATGAGGGGAGGTGAGAGTGTGAGAGTGGGTGAAGGGGAGGGAGAGGAAGTGCATGAGAGTGAGAAAGGTGGAGGAGGTGGTGGTGGCGTGCAGGAGACGGGGGACGGCAGTGATGGTGGGCGAAACAAGAGCAGGCTGCAGCAGGAGGTGGGAGGTGCTTCTGCCTCTGCTGCACTAGGTGCGCGCCTGTCCCATGACAGCACACCACCAGGCGCCATGCCTGGTGAAGATGGAATTGAGCACACGGTCCTCAACTGCACCCATGTCGTGCTGCCCATTGCTCCCATGCCGTGCTGCCCATTGCTCCCATGCCGTGCTGCCCATTGCTCCCATGCCGTGCTGCCCATTGCTCCCATGCCGTGCTGCCCATTGCTCCCATGCCGTGCTGCCCATTGCTCCCATGCCGTGCTGCCCATTGCTCCCATGCCGTGCTGCCCATTGCTCCCATGCCGTGCTGCCCATTGCTCCCATGCCGTGCTGCCCGGTGCTCCCATGCCGTGCTGCCCGGTGCTCCCATGCCGTGCTGCCCGTTGCTCCCATGCCGTGCTCCTCACTGCACTGCACCCATTGCATCGATGCCACGCGCACGTCCCATCCCTGGACCCTGGGTGCCTCACTCCCTGGCGAGCGTGCACGTGTGCATGGGCGGCAAGGGCAGGGAGATGAGCATCCCTTCCACTGCTCTTCTCCCCCTCCACTTCCCAACCCTCCCCCCCCCCCTCCTCCCAGGCCCCATGGAGCGCCACTTGTGGTCACATCTGCCTCATCTGTGGGTGCTGCATGCACTGGCGAGCGTGCATGTGCGCATGGGCGGCAAGGGCAGGGAAGTAAACATCCCTTCCATTGCTCTCTCCACCTTCCCGTGCCAACCTCTCCCGGTCCACGCCACTCCCAGGCCCCATGGAGCACCTCCTGTGGTCACGCCTGCCGCACCCGTTGGTGCCTCGCCCCCTGGTGAGCGTGCACGTGCGCATGGGCGACAAGGGCCGTGAGATGCGCGTGGCAGGAGTGGCGGAGTACGTGCGCCTGCTGCAGCGCGTGCGCACCCACCACCCGCACGCCACATTCGTGTGGCTCGCCACCGAGATGCAGCCGGTGAGTTTTGAATGCTGTTGAGGCTAAAGAAGTAGGTGTGGCTGGGATCGAGGAGTAGGTGCACTTGCCGCGCTGTGTGCGCACCCACCACCCGCACCCGCTCTTTGTGTGGCTCGCCACTGATATGCAGCCGGTGAGTCTAAGGAGGGTGCAATGACGCAAGGTGTGGGTGGGTTGGTGTGGACTGTGGGTTGCTGGTTTGTGAAGCACCAATTCAATGCACATGCATCATCTCAACAGTTCGTTGATGTGGCCGCTTCACCTTATTGACCACAACTCATCCCCTGCGCTAATGCACCCCCCCACCGCCCACCAGGTGGTGGACCAGCTGACGAGCATCCACGGGTGGACGTGGTTCGTGACAGCCGTCCCGCGCATCGCTGGCAACGAGGGCATGCCAGCGTATGAGCGGGCCTTGGGCGTGCAGCGCAGCACGGACAACGCGTTTGTGAACCTGCTGCTGGCGCTGGAGGGCGACTACTTCATCGGTGCGCTGGGGTCCTCGTGGTCCTTCCTCATCGACGCCCTGCGTTGCACAGGAGGGAAGATGAGGCAGGGGTTCCTCAGCGTGAACGTCTCTCCGCGGTGGTAATCACCTGTTCTGTTGGCTCTCCTCGCGCCGTGGAAGACACTAGATGAGGCAGCGTTTTGACGAACAAGTGTCATGACATGACACTAACATTTAGGAGGCGGAAGCAGTGGGTTACTCTCAAGCAAGCACAGCCGCTAACCACTGTGCTTAAAGGGATTGTTTCTCTTAGCGGATCAGCGCGCCCATTGTTCAAATTATATAAGTTATAATTTAATATAGGCTTGGTAGGTTGTTACTGAACCTTTCTGTAGGGGGTACAAACCCCTCCTTGTACTCCCCTCTCTTCTAATCCAACCCCTTTTTCTCTTCTCAACTTTCCTAGCACCTAAAACCTCTCGCCATTCTCATGGCTCCTCCTAGCTCCTAGCTAAACCTTGTGCCATTCTATGGCTTCCTAGCTAAGCTAGTTTCTGACATGGTATTAGAGCAGTTCGTTCCGCGTGGGCCTGCTCCTCGCGTTTCCGCTGCGTGCTCGTTTCTCTCTCTATCTCGCGCTGCCATGGCGGCCGCGTCAAGCTGCTGTGGCCGCGTCGTCGTGCCGCGGCGCCGCCGTCGACGTCCATGGCGCCCGCGTCCAGCTGCTGTGGCCGCGCCGTCGTGCCGCAGCTCCGCCGTCGCGTCAAGATGCTGTCGCGACGTGACGGCGCCGTCACGCTGCCGCGGCGTCTACGCGACAGCGCGCGGTCGGCGTAACGGCGACGTCGTGCTGCCGTCGCAACGTCGACGCCCCGCTGCGGCATCGACGCCGCTCCATGACGGCGTCGTCGGGCTGCAGCCGGCCGCGTGACGCTTGTGGCGCCGCTAGACCGGCCGCCCGCATGTCAGCCTGTGGCGCCCCCCCCCCCCCCACCCCCCTCCTTCCCTTGTGCCCTCTTCCATTCCGCAGACGACGGCTGACTCCCGCCGGCCGTCCCACCGTCGCGGGGCCTGGCCACGTCACCGAGAGGTGCGGGTGCCGCCGCCGCTGCCGCTGTTGTCGAAGCCGCCGCCGCCGCCGCTGTCGCCGCTTGCGTCGGGGCCACGCAGCCGCACGCCGCCGCCGCCGCCGCTGTCGACACTGCCGCCGCTGCCGCCGTCGCCGCCGCAGCCCCTGCGGTCGACGTCGCCGCCTCACGCGCCGTGGGGTCGACCGACCTAGAGTCGCTGTCACTGTGGCTGGAATGGGGGTGCTAGGTTAGGGGGTGTGGGTGTGTGTGGGCATGTGACTACCAAGCCTAGGGGGTGTGTTCAAATTATATAAGTTATAATTTAATATAGGCTTGGTAGGTTGTTACTGAACCTTTCTGTAGGGGGTACAAACCCCTCCTTGTACTCCCCTCTCTTCTAATCCAACCCCTTTTTCTCTTCTCAACTTTCCTAGCACCTAAAACCTCTCGCCATTCTCATGGCTCCTCCTAGCTCCTAGCTAAACCTTGTGCCATTCTATGGCTTCCTAGCTAAGCTAGTTTCTGACACCCATAACCCCCCAGGCATAGAGGCTTGTGGCCAGGGCTGACGTTTCGGAAGAAGGCACTCTGATTTACCCCCCCAAAAAAATTCCAAGTCTGAAGTATCAAAGTTAAAGAATGACTAGAACCATGGCATACAAGAGAATATAACTTGGTGGGTTGTACTCTCTAAGGTGAAATAACTTGTCCAATGTTGTAGAAGACTAGGTATAAAACTGCAAACACGAACACTTGGAAATCCTCAAGTGTTGGTCCAGGATCTTTACTGCAATGGTAGACTAGTAAGACAGCGGAAGTTGTTATGAATGGGACTGCCGAGTAGCGCGGAGGGCAATGGCGAAACAGTGAACGAGTGAATGACAATAAAATGAAAGAACACACAATATATAGAAAGCCTACGGTGATCCTGGACGTAGGATCGGAAGGTTCGGGAAAGGTATCGAAGGGCCTCGATGTGTCGTAGCGAGGTCCGGAAAGGCCCAGGAGGCTCGAACTGATAGGTCTGGAACCCTGGCGATGGTTCGGGACTGTTCGAGTCGTACGCCCTGTAGCAAGCCTCAGTAAGGAATTCCTAATTCCTTACAGAAGTCTTGTAAAAAGTAACAGTCCAGGTTGAATAACCTGAGTACCAGTCCTGTCGCTATCAGGGTATTTTACCCTGATTCCCTGATTTCACAGGGTAATTTTTTGGCCAACCCTTAATTTTCAGGGTTGGGATTTTTTTAACCCTAACCTCTTCAGGGTTGTATGTCTGTGAACACTTAAAATTTCAGGGTTTGCGTTATCCCAAAACTGAGTTTTCAGGGAGTAACGCGTACGAACCCTGAGTGCGACATCCATGTAGCTCACAATGGGGAAATTTAGTCGAAGTCCCCAATCTCCAGAGACATTCCCCCCCACACACAACAACCTACAAAAATTCGTGAAGTCCTCAAACATTTCCTCACACACCAAGTAACCCACAAAAATCGGCTAAGTCATGTGTCGTACAGACATCCCCCCTACACACCTAACAACAACCCACAAAAATTAGCTAAAGTCTTGATAGGCAGTGACAGCACAAAAAAAAACGGCTTAGTCCTATTGTACACAAGTGATCCCCCCTCCCACACTCCCACAACCAGGGCTCGCCACCCCCCTACCAGCAACCCTGTCAACCCTTGTTTTGCGTTGATAAATCTGGGAAACGGGGAAGCCACTCCTAAAAATCAAGGGGGTAAAATCGCACTGCCACGGAAATCGAAACTGAGGGGAGGGGGAATCGAAACCGACGGGGAAATGGGGAGGAAATCAAAATGGGGGGGAGGGGGGAAGCGAAACGGAGGGGAGAGGGGGGGAACGTGGGGGGGGGGGGGGTCGAAACAGAGAGGATGGGGGAAGCGAACGGAGGGGAAGGGGGAAGTGATCGAAACGGAGGGGAGGGGGGAATCGAAAATGGAGGGGAAGGGGGGAATCGAAATGGCAGGCAGGGGGGAAGCTGGGGCATAAGGCGGTGGGAGAAATTTCGCGCCTTTGCAGCGCCCTGGTTGGGAAATCCTGGACGTTAATCAATACCTACCATCGAACGATTGATATTTGTCGAAATGATCGCAAACGATCGTGACCGCTACATTTTGTTAGACTTTCAGTTGACCAAATGGGCAACTGGCGAGAATTTCCCTATGTTTAAAATGCGGAATTTACTCTCATTCCAATGCAGTTAAAAAAAAAATGTGAAAGTCTCATTCAAAACTTTGACGTGTGTTCCAGGTGTTTTTTTATGGCGCGTGTGGTCAACTGAAAGTCCATCAAACTTTGACCGCCCCCCCCCCCCCCCCTCCTCCCACATTTTCCCTCCCCGTTTCGCTTCCTCTCTTCCCCTATGTTTCCATCCTCCCCCTTCCCCTCCGTTTCGTTCTTCCCCTCCCCTCGGCTTGATTCCCTCCCCTTTTTCCCCCCATTTTTTATTCCCCCCTCGTGTTGAAAGCAACCCTGAACGCGTTCGTTGCTCAGCAATGCAACCTTGTTTGTGGCTAGCCAACCCTGGAGGTTTCAGGGTTGTAAGTTCCAGAACACTGAGAAATCAGGGAAGTTAAAATTCCAAAACAAGGCCCTCAGGGTTTTTTTTTTTTTTTTTTTTTTTTTTTTTTTTTCCATTCGACAGCTCAGGGTGTTTTTTTTTTTAAACGACAGCCCTGCTGAGTACGTGAACTTGTGAGTAATCAGAGTTACCGTACTAATGAAAAGACCTAACAAGGATTTATAGTTCTAGGAAAAGTACCTATTTGCTAATGTACCTGTTCGTCACTATCGCGCTATGTGCCCTAGCTGATAACGAAGAGATGCGACTGTTCGCGTGACTGAAACGACTGTCTTCATGACGAGCGCTATTTGCTGACGTCATCCTACGGACTTATGTGTTAGAATACGATAATTGATTACTAGGAAGAGAAACCTAGAACATATACCTGTTGGGTTGTACTCACTAGAAGCACACACCTAGTCTAGCCTATAACTTCTATATAGAACATATGTATAAGTTGACACACCCCCTAGGCTAGATATGGGGTGGAGCTAAGCAAGAAGCACACAGCTCAGGATGGCACTACTAGTCCAACCAATGAGGTAGGGGTGCGGAGACCAGTCAGCAATAGTACAAACAAGACTAAAGCAAGCCAGGGCAGCACTACTAGTCCAGCCACTGGAGGTAAGGCCACAAGGCCAGCCAGACAGATATAAATAGTAGAGAGTACACAATTAGGATCCTAACAAGTGAGAAGTGACAGGAACAAGGCCAAGCTGGACACAGTGCCGCTGATGATCTTTAGGCACAAGTGCCTTCGTAAAGATATCAGCAGTGTTGGCACCGGAGGCCAAGTGAACTACGCGGGCCTGGCGACGCTGCTGTAGCTCGCGCAGGAGGAAGTACCGCAGCTGGATATGCTTCGCTCTGCCCTCAAGCCGAGGCTCCTGAAACAGGAGAATCATGGCCCTGTTGTCAGCGTACAGGACCGGGGCAGAGCTAGGCCGCTCACCTAAGTCTGTGAGCAAGAAGGTAAGCCAGCGGAGCTCCTGTGCCACCATGGCACCTGCGTAGATCTCAGCCTCACAGCTGGACTGAGCAACAGACGACGAGCGAGTGGATCTCCAAAAGATAGCACCCGAACCAAGACTAAAACAGTCGCCCTGAGACGACCTGAGAGTCTCTGTGTCATCTGCCCAAGAAGCGTCTGTGTGCCCCGTGAGGACCATTGGCCTGCGTCCTCCTAGCACTAACCCCATGCCCGATGTACTTGCAAGATAACGCAAAACCCTCTCAGCGGCAGACCAGTGCTGAGGTCGGTGTCAGCCTGTAGCCACCAAGCGAGCCAGGATGCTGAGAGGGTATGCGAGATCTGGGCGAGTGCAAGTCATCAGGTACATGAGGCAACCCACCAGCTCTGCGTAGGGGCCGCTGGGCTCTACTGGCTCCTGAGGAATGGGAGCGAAGAGCCCATGGTCTACAGGTAGAGGTGTGGGCTGTGCGGAGGAGGACTGAAGACCGAACCTCTGAAGGACCTGACGCACCAAGTGTGACTGTGTCAGAGTGATGGTGCGTGCTGCTCTGTCCCTAGAGATCTGCAGGCCAAGATAGCGATGCAGCTCTCCAAGGTCAGTGCAGGTGTGTCTCTTCAGCAGCTCAGCCTTCACAGAGGCCAGTGCGTCCCTGTAAGCAGTAGCAAAGACCAGGTCGTCTACGTAGACAAGGATGTAGAGCGGAGTCTGGCCGGAATGCACAAACAGCGAGGGGTTAGCAGAGGATGGAAAGAACTGCAGGTCTGCTAACGTGGTCCGCAGCGTGTCGTGCCACTCGCGGGGAGCCTGTTGCAAGCCGTAGACCGGGCGCCTGAGAAGCCACTGGGTCCCAGAGGGGAAGGTACCAGTGAAGCCCTGTGGTCGGCGCAGGTAGACCTGCTCGTATAGGCTGCCCTGAAGAAAGGCAGTAGAGAAGTCGTGGGAGTGAAGCTCGTAGTCGCGCTGTGCTGCTATGTGTAGCAGCGCCCAAAGAGTGGTCATCTTCGGGGTCGGGGCGAAGGTCTGGAAGAAGTCAACCCCCTCGCGCTGACTGAAGCCTTCGACTACGTTCACCCCAGGCGGGGGAACTGCGTCGACGTAAGTGCCGGTGGACCTCCAAGATGCCATCTCCTACTCTATGGCAGCTATCCACTGAGAGACCCAAGGTCCCGAGGTGGCCTCAGCGTAAGTGCGAGGGGTCGGGATGTCGAAGGCGTCTGGGTCACCCTCAGGGACTAACAGCATGGAGCAGAGATGGGGAGCGGCCTTGGAAAGGAAAGCAAGCTCGTACTGCGTGTCCTCTAGTACGTCATTGCCAATGGGCAGGAGCAGCCCCAACGGACGGAGGACGGGCAGGGTCAGAGACCAGAGCGGTGGCATAGCCAAGGCGGCGGGTAGAGGCGAAGTCAGCGACAGCAGCGACAAGCGCGTCAAGGCGCGAGACAGGAATAGAAGGGTCGGTAACAAGAGAGGCAAGAACCCGAGGGACAAGGGGACGAGCGGTGCGGAGGTAGTCAGACAACGGAGGAGGTGCAACAGCAAGCGACGAGGTAGGAGGGGACGGGAGGAGGGGAGGACGAGACGAGTGGAAACGAAGCAAGATAGGGTGGGAGCATAGGACAGGAGAGACGGGACGAGCACGGGAGGGACGGCGAGACCAGACGTGGGACGGAGGTGTAGGGTCAGGAGACAGGGGAGGGGACACAGGAGGGGAACGAGGAGGAGGACGGGCCGGAGACGAGTCCGGCGTCGGGAACACAGGACCGTAAACAGGAAAGTCAGGAGGCAGTGGGGGAGACACCGGCAAGTGGTCAGGGGAGGGAAGGCCGAGCAGGCGGAGATTGGAGACCGGCGGCGACGGCTGCTGAGGCTGCTGCGACTGCTGGGCCGAAACCCTCGGACCGGCAGGACGACCGCCGGCAGAACATTCAACAGCAGCACCCCCAAAACCAACACCCCCAGAGCGAGAATCCCCTCCAACACCAGCGGCACCCCTAGGGGCCGCAGGACGAGCACCCTCCTCAACGCCAGCACCCCCAGAGGCCAAGCGCGGCGGTGGCAGCGGCGGCGACGGCGGCGGTGGCGACGGCGGCGGCGGCGGCGGCAGCGGCGGAGTCGGCGACTGCGACA